GTTATCCACCTCGCCGCAGGTGTCTGGGAGTGTGCACAGGTGAGCGATTCACTCACATCCCAAGCGGAGCGCGCGACCCCGTGACCTGCCTCTCACCTCTCACGCCTCCCTCGAGGGGTAGAGGGGAGGGGCGGTGGGATGGGGGTGGGGGCTAGAGAGGTAGGATTTTGGGGGGGCGGGGGGGTGTGGGGAAGGTTCAGGCTGTCACGTGACTCATGACCCCCCCCCCCTCCCCCATCAAACCGCACTTAACACGGTGAGAGGCAATTAACCCCCCCCACCACCACCGCCGCCGTTGCCCCCTATTTAGCAGCGCCGTGGCAGCGTGGGGACCTGGGGGGGGGGCGGGCAGGAGTGGTGGGGGTGGGGGGGTGTGCGGATATCGATTTGGCAGTAAGGGGAAAACTGCAAATCTCATTTCTAAGCCGCGTTAACGAGGAGGTGGCGAGGATTTGCTCGACACTCAATTAAAAGTAATTCAATTCATTACTCGGACCCGGCAGCCAATAATCATCACGCAACCCCCCCCACCCCTCTCACTCCACACACTCAGCCCCCCCCCCCACCATCACCACCAGTAGCTACAGACCTACACAACCACCACCGCTACCACGCGTTGATTGTGACTGAATCTTATTCTTGATCAGAATCCGTATTTATCCCGGAGAAACCCGATGAGCTGTGAAGCTCTTTGTCGAACACACACCAAACGCCGCGACCGCCAATAACACCCACCGACTTGCTACCCACACCACCGCTACCAACCACCAACCATCCACACCGCGACACGACATTTCTCCCACCGTGTAGGCTGTAACAGACTGTCGGGGCAAGCGCTGTTAGCAAGCACCAATTGAAGGCCGGCACCACGCCCGGCCGCCTTTGTCTCCCTCGCTGCGACGTTCACTGCGCACCGTACCGGGCGCTCATCTGAGTCCGAGACGACCTCGTGGCCGGTTCAGATGATTCTCGTCACTGCGCGGTTGGTGGCCGTGAACGGGAATCGAACTCGGCTCATTGGCCGCGTTCGTAGCGCAGCGTAGCGCGCTAACCGATGCGCCACCGCTCCCCAATATTGCAAACGCGCACGCGGGGGGCTTCAGCGAGGAGGCGAGGGGGGGTGGGGGAGGTGGACGGGGGGGGGGGGCATGGGGGGTGAGCCCCCCCCCGGTCCCCCTCCGCAACCCCCCCCCCCTCAATAATGATCGTCACGCAACCTTTGACCTGAAGGGGGCGCTCAGTGAACGTGGGGGAAGTGGGCCTCGCTCAAAACGACGTGACGTCACGAGAGAACTGTGATGGCGTGCACGAGGTCATTCACTTTAAGGTATTTGTTGTTGTTGTTACATTGAAAATAAAACATATACATCTTATCCCATGGTTGTATCCAGATTGGGCTGTCGACGTCAAGAATGCGTTCAAAAATCATGCAGAGCAGAAACCCTGAGTGCAACAGAGAATGCACCGCGGAAGCGGATATAACAGAGCTACATCTGAGATCCATTATTCTTCTGCAAGTGACTGGTCACACACAGCAGAGTCTATGGATCTGTGTCATTGTTGACATGTCTATGGATGTCTCTGTGTGGGTGTCTCTGTGTGTTAGTCTATGAGTCTCTGTGCAGCTGTGGGTCTCTCTGTGTGGGTCTCTGTGTGAGTCGATGGGTCTCTCTGTGTGGGTATCTCTGTGTTAGTCTATGAGTCTCTGTGTGAGTCTATAGGTCTCTCTGTGTGGGTCTGTGTGTGTGAGTCTATGGGTCTCTCTGTGTGGGTCTCTGTGTGAGTCTATGGGTCTCTCTGTGTGCGTCTCTGTGTGAGTCTATGGGTCTCTCTGCGTGGGTATTTCTGTGTTAGTCTATGAGTCTCTGTGTGAGTCTATGGGTCTCTCTGTGTGGGTATCTCTGTGTTAGTCTATGAGTCTCTGTGTGAGTCTATGGGTCTCTCTGTGTGGGTCTGTGTGTGTGAGTCTATGGGTCTCTATGCAGCTCTTTGGATCTCTCTGTGTGGGTCTGTGTGCGAGTCTATGGGTCTCTCTGTGTGGGTGTCTCTGTGTTAGTCTATGAGTCTCTGTGTGAGTCTATGGGTCTCTCTGTGTGGGTCTGTGTGTGTGAGTCTATGGGTCTCTATGCAGCTCTTTGGATCTCTCTGTGTGGGTCTCTGTGTGAGTCTATGGGTCTCTCTGTGTGGGTATCTCTGTGTTAGTCTATGAGTCTCTGTGTGAGTCTATGGGTCTCTCTGTGTGGGTCTGTGTGTGTGAGTCTATGGGTCTCTATGCAGCTCTTTGGATCTCTCTGTGTGGGTCTCTGTGTGAGTCGATGGGTCTCTCTGTGTGGGTGTCTCTGTGTTAGTCTATGAGTCTCTGTGTGAGTCTATGGGTCTCTCTGTGTGGGTCTCTGTGTGAGTCTCTGTGTTAGTCTATGGGTCTTTCTTTGTGGGTCTGTGTGTGTGAGTCGATGGGTCTCTGTGCAGCTCTTTGGATATCTCTGTGTGGGTGTCTCTGTGTGCGAGTATGTGGGCCTCTAAAGAATTCCCGTAATCAGTAAACCGCACTGGCACCACCAAATCGATCGCCACTCTCCTTGAGATCGCGGTTTGATCCCGAACCCAGGCTTACACAGCGGGGCCTGCTCAGGGCTCCGAGCAGTGGGTCACAAGGCTCTGGGGCAGTGCCCATCACGGGAGAGGCGACAGCCACCACTCCACGATTCCTACAATCACCCGAGTCCCTTGAATCTCCGCTGTGGTCTTCCCCATCGCGTCTTCATTACAGCTCTCGTACATTATATCTCCCCCTTACATCTCCCCCTTACATCCCCCCCCTTACATCTCCCCCTTACATCTCCCCCTTACGTAATGCGCGTCTCTGTCACAGCTCTCGTTCTGCTACCTCACATCTATCTCCCCGCCTCTCTGATGCGAGGTTCTGAAATGGGAGCATCTGGTGATGCTAGGTTCAGGGGCGGAGACGAGACAGATTGTGGGGGTGGGGGGCGGGGGGGGCGGGGGGGTGTGTCATGGGGGGGGGGTGGGGGGCAAATACGCACGTGCTCGAGTACGGGGAGCGGTGGCGCAGTGGTTAGCGCACTGCGCTATTCCGATCCCTGCGACCGAGGTTCGCTTCCTGCTCACAGTCAACAGCAACATCGGGGACGAATATTTGAACCGGTCTCCGGGTCTCTGCGAGGTCGACTCGGCCTTAAAAAAAACCGAGTAGTGCCTTGCAGGTGCGATGTGTAAACATCGCCACTGGTGAGACGAAGGCGGCCGGGCGTGGTGGCAGCTGGCCCACTCGCGAATTCACAAGCGCTCGGCTAACAGCACTTGCCCCAACAGTCTGTTGAGGCTACACGAGGGATCTTTGCCTTCATGTGCCTTCATGCATATTCACGTGAATGGATCTGATGGACACGCGCGCGCGTCCCAGTTGACCGCGAGCAGACAGACACCCGGCATTGTCATGCTGATGAGCTCTAAAGGCGAGGCGGCGACCTCGGCGTGTGATGTGATAGGGCCCGGCGTTTGTTTACACGTGGACCCCTTGTGTGTGTGTGGGGGGGAGAGGCGGAGCGGGGCAAGGGGGGAGGCGGGCGAGGCGGGGGGGGGGGCCGCGCACAATACGATTACGCGTTTTAAATAATAGGGGGGGCGTTAGGGGGGGAGAGGGGGGCGGGCTGTTATCGGGCATAAACAAAGACATTAACAGCGGAACATACGAATCAATGAGCCAGCGAGTCAATGGACAAAGCTCCCACCCCACCCTCTCTCTCCCCTCACGACCACCCCCCTCCCCTCCAGCCCTTTCACCCTTCACAGCCGCTAGCGAACGTAATCAGTTTTTTGTTATCGTGATAATCATAATCGGCCATGGTCAATCCACCGCTGGATTAAAAGCTCAAATCCTCCCGCCTCTGCCCTCGTGCCGCCACCTGTCTCACGACCCAGCGACACGCCAGTTGATTTCATAACCGCTCCGTCTCCTGGGCGGACGTGCTCTCGGCATGCGCGTTCCCTTCCTTGGCTGCCGCTCCGTCACCACCCTTGACCCTTCTTGGTCCAGCGCGTCCGCGTGAACGAACCTCACGGATTCGTCTTCTTGGTTCTTTCGGTAAAGTCACGTAGAAGGGAAATAATAAAATAATAAAAATAAAACAATAAAATTATAATAAAAAAACATGATAAAATAATTCTCACGACGTTTCGGCCACAACGCAAGCAGCCGTCCTCAGGTGAAACGTCGTGAGAATTATTTTATTATGTTTTATTTTTTATTATTTTATTATTTCCCTTCTACGTGACTTTACCGAAAGAACCAAGAAGATGACATAGTGGGGAAGGCTATAATCCAAAAACATAATAAAATAATTCTTTTATTATGTTTTATTTTTATTATTTTATTGTTTCCCTTCTACGTGACTTTACCGAAAGAACTAAGAAGATGAATCCCTGCAGTCACGAAAGCTTTAAATCGAAATTGAACCTCACGGAGTTTTCTTTTTTGACGCAACATACGGATAGTAAAACAAATGTCTGATTTTGCGTTATGTAGGGAGTGTACCCCATCCCTCGCCCCGCCATCGTTGAGGTTGAATGCTCTTGCCAATAACATGACAAGTCATCCAGCGGCACTTATTTGTATTTTTCAAACGAAGCCCGATTTTGCTGATGAGACCCACACAAGTCGAACACCGCTTGCAGAGATTTGCTCGCTTCAAGCGAACGCGGCTCTGGATAATGTTGGTCCGGCAGAGATAACACTGGTCAACAAAAAAAAACACATTTTTTTCTGGCCTGGACTTTTGCAGCTGTTTTAGACTAATTTCAGGGTGCTGATTCCAGATCTGATCTCAGATTTGCTCTATCACATCTCATTTTTATGCTATCGGCATACCCCATTTTCATTCATTTTACCCGAAATTAACTCTGTCACTTATGATTGCAAGTTGTTGCGAGTCAGTGACTGCTTTAGTGTTAAAATATGGTGCTGTATTTTTAGGATAGTGTGTTTATAATATTATTTTATGTAGATATCCACATTTATTTAATATTTTCTTCTGCAGTTTTTATTGAAAATGCAATATTTGATATCTAAAAAACTTGATGTGATAGACAAAAACTGATGTCAGATTTGGAATCATCCCCCCAAAAATACCTTAAAACCGTTGGAATACTTTATGCCAGAAAAAGTGTGTTGACCAGTGTAATTCGTGAAATTGTGACCGTGCCCTGCAAGTGCTTGCTCACTCCACTGCTAACGGAAAGAGCCGCATCCAGGAGGGAGAACCGCTTAGAGAGCCCCTCTCAAGGAGGGCATTTTGGCCTACTCTTCCACACTGGCCACACGCATCAAAGAAAGACAAAGACGCCCCGTGTAGCCTTAACAGACTGTTGGGGCAAGTGCTGTTAGCGAGGAGCACCTATGGAGGCCCGCGCGACACATGAAGGGGTGGGTGGCCAACACCACGCCCGGCCGCCTTTGTCTCCCCAGTGGCGATGCTTACACACCGTACCAGGTACTCATTTGAGGCTGAGTCGACCTAGAGGAGGCCCAGGACCCGTTCAGATAATCGTCAACCCGGTGTTGGCCGTGAGCGCAGCGCGCTAACCACTACACCACCGCGCCCCGACACCTCAACACGACGTCAATCACACACGCGGCCTAGTAAATTATACACACAAAAACAACTC